CACATTATCCAAAACCATATGAAAATACGTGAATGCAAAAGAAAATTCCAAATGAACTTTGGTGTCTTTTTATACTGATCCAAACAGACAAGCAAACTTCCTCTCTCCTTTCCCACTTCAACATACGAAGAAATGTGTATCAATCATCCTTTCTTAAGAAGAAGTCTATACAAAAATGCTCAGCTTTAATTTTCACTTGCAAAGCTTTCACACATCCTAACTCAGTCAATGTTCCCAAGGTACACCATACTCACCTGCAAGCAGGACCCATTCATGTATTTAACATCTCACCAGGATAACTAACTGATTGCTCACTGCCATAAGCCACCATGGTGGCTTACCAACTCAGCTGATAAGCAAACCATTGCAATGCCAGATTCAGAGGATGTTTAACACTATGGCTTCATTTGTCTGACACCAGGTTCATGAAATCTACACTAGGCATAGGGCTGAAGCATATTAGTAATACAGTGTGCAAAAGCAATCTATCATCTACTGGAGTGGATGACACCAAAGGGTTGGGCTGCCTGCCAGTCAGAGGGATCTCAACAGGCTGGAGGAATGGGCCTACAGAAACCTCACAAAGTTAAGAAAGAGAGACAAGGGAAGTCCTGCCCTGGGGAGGAACAACCCCAGGCACCAGTACAGGCTGGGGCCAATCAGCCAGAAAGCAGCTTTGTGGAAAATTCCCTGGGGGTCCTGGAGAAGGTGAACATGAGCCAGTCCATGAAGCAAAGGCCAGCAGTATCCCAAGCTGTGTTAAGTAGAGTATCACTAGCAGGTCAAGAGAGGAGATCCTTCTCTGCTGCCCAGCACTGGTGAGATACACCTGGAGTGCTGCATCCTGTGATGGGCTCACCAGGACAAAAGAGGCACAGACCAAGAGAGGCACTGGACTTTGCAAGTCCAGCAAAGGGCACTGAGGTGATTAAGGGACGGGAGCATATGTCACATGAGGAGAGGCTGAGAGAACTGGGAACGTTTAGCCTCAAGCAGAGAAGCCTTGAGGGAGATCTTATCAATATGTATAAATACCTCATGGGATGGAATAAAGACAACGGATCCAGACTCTTCTCAGTGGTGCCCAGGAAAGGGTAAGAAACAACAGGCACAAGCTGAAATGCAAGGAATTCCAGTAAAACAAACAAAAAAACAAAACAAACAAACAAAAAAAAAAAAGAGTGGAGGGAAGGCACACAACAAGTGTGTTCTTGTTGAGGTTTTTTGTTTGGGTTTTGTTGTTGTTTATTGTGAGGATGTTTGCCTAGAGAGTCTGTGGAATCTCAGCCCTTGGAGATATACAAAACCTAGCTGGACACAGCCCTGAGCAACCTGCTCTACTTGACCCTGCTCTGAGCAAGAAAGCTGGTCTTGATCAGTGATCTCCAAAGTGGAGTATGTGCGAGACAATCCACTTGGATGTGGGAAGAAAATATTTTTTGTACCATTAATAAAAACAGTTTTAAAAAAATAATTATTATTTATTTCATCTTTATCTCATCTTTTTTAAATTTCTATTCTTGTGTATATTTTATAACACATAATATATTAGCACAGTGGTACATGTATATAATTTATAAAGAAATAGACGTATTGGGGTCACGTGCTAAAAACATTTTGTTGGTGCACAATCAAAAAAGTTTGGAGACCACTGGTCCAGATCATCTCCAATGGTCCCTTCCAACTTCAGCAGGCCTCTGATTCTCTCTCTTGATAACAACAATGGATGCCTATACACAAAGTGAATGAACGGTTCCAGTGGAAAAATTTGCTCTTCCTGCCAGCTGATGTCTGTTGCTTTCTCAAATTTGTCCTTCACTTTGTTAAACCCAGTAACTCCCTAAACCTTATACTCTTCTAAATTCATATTAATAATTGGTTTTGGATTTCTTCCACACTTCTACTGAAAGTTACTTTATAGTTTCGGGGTTGGGAGGGTTCATTGTAGGTTTTTTGGTTTTAAGACTCCTCAAGGCTACTCTACCCTACTTTCCCACAAGAATGGTTACTGCAGCAGTCCACATTCTGGTTTTGCCACCTATGAAAAGACTACCAGGGTCAGCATACAATTAGCCATGCCACTTCCTCCTCCTCAGATACTTATCTCCTCATAGCAGCCAAACGAGTCTAAAAGCTCCTTCAAATTTCTAGAATGAAGCTTTACTGAGGATCAGGATCCAGATTGTTTACAGTAATTATATATTAAGAACAAATTGAGTCCTGTTTAACAGAAGCTTAATACTCTTACCTATGCAGCTTGACATTATAGGTATGTATCTATGCTATTTTTCTGCCAGTTTACTACATAAAATACACAATTAAATTACTGTATACACATTCAAGGTATGTAAAGCAATAGTCTGTCCATTTATAAACCCTGATTCAAAAAACTAATGTATTTTTATTGTTTACTTAAGCTTTGCAGTTGCATTAAAATATAATAATAATAAATAAACCATTTGGAGTACATTAACAAAATAAGCAAAACACTAACTGAATTGAATGCTTTATGATTTTATGTGCGACCATAAGTAAACCAAATTCTTACAATACCACTCTTTATACACTGGGTAATGGCAAACTGCTATCATTATCTCATTCAAGGTCTAAAATCATATGTAAAGTAGAACTAGAAAAAGTTCATATGCTTTACGATCATTTCAAAGCCCTTCAGAAAGTTTATTTTGCATATATCTATATACATAAACAAGAAAGATTATTTTCATGTAATCCTTAATTTGAATACCATTCAGTTTCTGAAGAGCTGGAAAAATAACAAGACCGTTCTTGGATATTAGTGCTTCTTTATGCAGAGCACAGTGATATTCATAGACTAGAAATGTACTGAAACCCATATTAAATTGACCATTTTTCTCAAAGAGAAAGTTAAAATGGAAGGTCTCATTCCAAACAGGAGCACTGGGGAAAACTGTTCATTCTATCTCTCATCTGGCAGACCAGTACTACCACTCTGGGAAATCAGAGAGGAGTTGGGCAGGCTGCCCACACAACTTAAGGTTCATCTGAGATCCACATATATCCACTTAGCTATCCAACCAGGATTTTTTTGTTGTTGTTTTCATGCCCACATGATTTTAGTGCCTTTGTGCAATGTGCAACCCTCTCCGCATGCTTCCCTTACCAAAAGAAGGCCGGTATCTCACAATACTGAAGCCAGAAAATCTATGTCCTCCCACGCCTGGTCCAATGTCCACTACAGTTATGGGAAAGCAAAATGAACTTTAATCTGTCAAAATGTACCATTTGAATTAAATATGCTACAGATAATCTTGGGATACAAATAGAAAAATGCAACCACCAAGGATATGGGGTGACTCTGCAGCAGTTGAAAGAACTGTACAGCCTAAAATAACAAGTGTCTTTTATATACATTTACAAAAATATGTACACCTACATGCATATACCTCTCTAAAACAACATTTTGCACCTTTCATGTGTTACTCAAGTACATTATTAAAACATACTACAATTTTAATTTAGCAAGTAGGGTATTTTTTTACCTCCATAAAAACAACAAAGGAAAAAAATCAACCATATAACATTGACTGCAATTAAGAGAACTCCAGCACTGCAGAATATCTGTCACACTTTACAATCAATAACTATTTCTCAGAATGGCTTGTACACTAGCAGAAATAGCCAGGATACAAATTTATGAGATTGTAAAGTGTTTTTTATTGTATGCACAGCACAGAATCATGAGAATCTTCTACACAGTCCTTGTAAGAGAAACATGACCTTTGAAATGCTAGAGCTCACTTTGCTAGCAAATGTTTATCACCAAAGAGCTGTCAGCTCCCAAGTTTTTAAAAGATTAACTCTGCTGAGTCACGTATCACAAAACGCCACAAGCGTACCCCTACTCCTGGAACGTTGTTACAGGAGAGCAGCAACTTGAATTCCAATCTGTTGAAAATACTAAAAGTAGCTTCATACGCCAAAAGTTCCCTAAATTTTTATTTTAAATCACCTTCCATTTACTAACACTACATGAAAGAGTTACGTACACAGATGAATGACTACATAGGGAGAAAACCCTAAATGTATGAAGCAAAACGAGCAAAAAGCAAGATATCACAATTAGAAAGATGACTGCTATTATTTTTATAGTTATCTGCAATACTAGTAGTTGAAATGCTCAGAAAGGAAAGAATATAATTTGGAGGTAATAAGAAAGGCTTCAAAAGAGGCAGGTTGCATTTCAAGTCAGAATACCTTTACAAACACTTATTAATAGCAGTGCACATGAGACAAGAGTGTCATGAACAGAAAGTCAGAGTCATGCAAATAAAATAATTTACACACATCCATAAATTTAAAGGAATTATGAACACTATCAACACTATGCTGCTTTTACTTTTCACTGCACAAGTGCAAGTCTAAGAAGTTTTTCTGATATAAGGCAAGTGAAATGAAGCACTAGATTTGCATCATTGCATTTTACTATCCAACTTTCAAAACCTTTAAAAGTACAGGTTACTGTAATTTTCTGATCCACACATAATACTATAATTACCATCTTCCTTATTATTCATTGAGTTACTTTAGAAAATCTGTCTTTGATTCCAGCACCTTTGAGGACAGTAATAATTTCCTTTTCCAGGTACTATAACTGGCAAGTTTCTTTGGAATCCTGTATGCAGGTACTCTGCAGTACAAGTGAGGGTAGCAGAAGATTCATGTATTGACTAATTCTAACCTCCTCTAGTAGGCACTAAGTGCAATTATATGAGAATATTAAGCAAAATATAAATCTCTACAATGTATGAAGGACCAGACTGATTTTAACGTTCCATTAGCAAAACCAAGATCATGTAAATCTGGTGATAAAATCAGAGTGTGCAGGGAACTACATACATAAAAAACAAATCCAATTTAAAAGCAAACACGGGTTTGTTCAAACAGCGTTGTATAATTTCTTTAACACTTACAGAATTTAGATGAACAATATTTTCATTCACTCACAGTTTAGTATAAATATAAAGCAAGGCACCCCTTAAGCATTTTAAATAACAAATTAAACATTTACGTTTTTTACTGTGCAGTCAGGCTTAACATTTATGCAGCTTCAAAACCAAAGTACAGCCTCAAGGGAAGCCTCTCCACTGACAAATTAATACCTTAGAGAATAGAGCTGAATGGTGGCAATGAACTCATTTGTTCCCCCAATAATGAAGAATGACTCTTTCTTTACCACATCTGTGACTGTTGCTATGGTGACCCAGACTTACCTCATTGCTTCTCGAAGTGCTCCTCGCTCACCAAGAGTCGTGTGCTTGATGTCATCAAAATTATTTTCCAGTTTCTCACAGTTCTGCAACAAACGGACAAATCCATGTAAAGCTCTTAAACAGTATATTGTACATGTATTAACATTATTCAACATCATGCAAACAAAACTGATTTATATTATGTAACCTCAAATTACGCATTCTGTTTTAATTACAGAGGAGTCATTAAAAAGATATTGAGAACTCAGAAACAAAGTAAACATGAATCTTATTATATGGTTGTCATGGAAATCACCTTATAAATGTTCCATAATGAAATGTCTCAATTTTTTACTTTTTTCGTCTTTGAAAGAAAAATTAATTTTTCCTTTATCTGTATGCGAGGCTACAAAGCTACTATGCACAGTCGGACAAGAATAAAAACCTAAACATGCATTTTAGAATCATAATAAAAGTTATAAATTCTGTCCCAATGAAACAGGCAGTGTTGTTGGAACAAACCAATCATATTTAATTCAGACTTAATTTAAATTTTAAATCATAACAGAATCTTTTTGGATTAATTGTTAATAGACAGCTCAACAACTTAATGTTTTTTTCCAGATCAGAGCTCACCAGTATTTCTAAAAGTAATATGAAGCCAACAATTTTGTGACATATAACTTTGCTATATTCTGTTAACTATTATTAAATGTGTGTCTGGTTCCACTACTCCAGAGTGTTGATTCCTTTTCCTCTGCTCCTACAAAGGCAGTAAATAGGTTCAGAAGATGCTGCAGAGTACAGAAATTTGTATCTGTGCAAAGCGAGTGTGAAATACCAGCAAATAAGAATTCTCTGATCATCTGCATTATCCATAGGATTTTTATGTTCTCTTGAGGCTTCTTCAATACAGGAGGCTTTTAAGTTACCCCCTGTTCCCTGCAGCACCTTTCTCCAATACCAAAACTTACCTCTGGGAGGCATAATTTTGCCACATGGGTGTAAAAGAAACACAAGTTGCAAGCATAACAATTACTATTGCTAACAACCTTGAAGGTAGGATTGTCAGCCTCTTTATGCAGTAGCTTTAAAGAAAATATCTGCACTATTATTTGGTCATATTACTTTCACCGCTTTTGATGTCCGAATTAATTTTCAAGTCCACATCTTAAAGACAGTTGTAATAAATTCAATAAAAGTTACCTATTGTTATTTCTTTTGTGCACAGATTCTTTATTTTTATAATTACATTCAATTTGAGGCTACAAAAGCATTATTGGAGAGAAAGTAATTAGATATTTGTAAATGACCTAACAAGATATTCTAGCTTATCCAATCAACATTTAAACTATCATTATTTTTAAATAAGATTATAAACTTTTTAATACAAAGTTTTAATGCTTTAACAATACATTTCTGAGCAGGAGAAACAAACAAAGCGACATTTGGAACTTTTGCAATCTTTTCTCTCCCTTATAAAAAATGATGCATGTCTTAAGTATGAGTAGTACATCTTATCTCATGGTTAATCTGATACTTTTTCTTTGTTTATATTACAATCAGCTGTCCTTTGTATAGCAGAATCCTACTCAAAAACTCAAAGGGATTACGCGAGAAAGACAGGGAAACTCTACAATAAGAATTTCATTATTTAGATCAGCATACACTGACCTCCGGCTCCAAGCATATACAGGCAGGTCAGTCATTTAAAATACACAAAAGAAATCCAAATCGACAATACTCATTAATAAAGAATTCCTGATTCATCAGTTCTAAACTGAAAGTATCTGTGCAAGCAAAATCAAACCACCCATCCTCCAGGAAAACAAACCAAAGAAACACCATTTGGGATATTGCTCCAAGTGCTGAAAAAGGAAAGTCCATTTTTAACAATCGCATGCCACCAGCATCCCAGCACAGGTTCAGAAAATCCAAGCATCATGAAGTTAATTTCTCTTGACATTATGATATAAAGCACATAGAAATGACAGAGGATCCAAAGCACATAAGATTTTTATCAAATAGAACTAAATCTTCTCTATATTGTACAAGCTAAAGTAACTGATGCTCTCCACGTGGAAAATACTGAAGAGAGTAAGCTCAATGGTATTTCTTCTTTGTCTGTATAGACCGTACTGTGTTAATCAGCTGAAGGGCAACAAGGGAGGTCTATTTCTAAAAAAAATGCTGTGATCATATAGCCTTACACACACAAATATTCCCTCTCAACTATAAACCCAATGTGAAAATTAATAGATAACCCAGAACAAAAAACAGAACAAATTTTATGGACTCAAATAATAGATATTGGACCAATCCATTTGCAAGAAGATGAACTTCTACCATTTCTGAGAAGTGTTTTTGGACAATATCTTTCTCAGCTAATTTCAGCCAAATAGCTCTCATCCAAGTTACAGCAGTCAAAAAGCCACAAAAGTCTAAATACTGCTTCTTAAAGAATTCTAGAATAAATACTTTGAGGTTTTTAAATTAATCAAAAAGCAAGAGAGTGGGGAAGAGATTTTATATATAAATAAATGGATTATTTATCATGCAAGAACTTAACTAAAACTACATGACAACTAGTTAAAAAGGCAGATGCAGACTGGCCAGCCACAAATATCTGTGGAATCTCACCCAGCATACTGGTGGAACATCTAATCAGAAATGAGAAAGATGATTGATGAATATATGGAGATAAGGAAGAAGGAAGATTAATGAACAAATTGAAAAGCTTTTCCTCCCATAACCACAAAAATAGGACTTTTTTGCTATTGCAATTCATTCTTCTAAATAAAATAAACTGCAAGCTTTGAGAGCAAGGACTACATGCTCGTAATTCTGTATTTTCAGTCACGGTAAGTGATAATATAAATAATATCATGACATAAACTTTATAATAATATTCTAACAGCCTGATGAAAGTCAGCAACTACGAAGTCCAAAATACTCTCATTCTTTGACGTTGGTTGGAGTAACAAGCTAGCTCACATAACAGGAGAATATAAATAATCACTCTAGTTTTACATAAAATCCTAGGTTTCTGGCAAAAGTCAAGTTGTACTTTTTAAAACACATCCCTAAACATTTGTCAGCTTAGCTTTCTTTTATATGTTTTTTGTCTTGGATAGAAAAGCCCTCTTTGCCTGATGTAGTAATTTGAAAAGCAGTTCTTGATTTGGTCTCTTGGGTCAAATGCAAAACTTTGCTGAAGTAGCTCAGAAACCGAAAGCCGTCTATTGCCTGGTGTCATCACTGAGGATCTCCCTAAATCACAAAAGCATTGCTTCCTCTGCTCTGCCATGGCAGGCCTAAGAGTCAGAATTTTGAGAAGACAGTAACTCAAACTCGCCCATTCTGTGATATAGTACTGTTAAAAGAAGTGATCCCACTTCCATTGAAACCAACCATAAATCTTCCATCCAGTCAAATGAGAGTGCGGTGCGATCATGCTCAGCCATATCCTGCTAATTTAACTCTCTCCTACAATACTTCACACAAGACTTTGAAAAGTGTTAGGATTAGAGATAATGTCTTACACACATTTGAGACAGTTGAGAAATAAAATCTTTTGATCTGACAACAGCGTAAGACCTATTCTAAGGCAGCCTGCATCACTGTAGTTGAGTAGAACTCTTATCCTAGTTGATACACTGCCAAATCAAAAGCCTTACTTAAAATACCGTCTCTCTTCTGTGAAAGAAGTTTTTAGGTAAGTAAGACTGCTGAATTCTTGGAATTCATTGCTTCCACATGGTTTTAGGAAATTTTCGTAGAAAGCTTGAGGTTTTTTCCAAGCATTTGTGAAGGTAAATTTCATATTTTTATTGTCAAATGTTCTCTGTGTATTAAATATAAGGAACATACAGCAGTTGAAAGGTGAAACAGCTCTCACCTGTTTGGTTTGTATTGGTGCTAATGCTAAAACAAATTAATTTATCTTCTGTTTTCTCCTTCATATCCCATGAAGAAGGATCGTACAGAATATGTTGTGTCTTAATTTTCTAATGGAAATGCAGACAAATTTTAAATGTGCATATTGAATGCATTTGTAACTACATTTCTCTGCACCTGGTCCAAATTCTGAAGGATGTAGTAGCTCCCTCTGACATTTCAATTTGTTACTTTTAAGGAGGCAGACTCCAATGACAGATTGACAAAACTGCTGGTGACCCACAGAATCTACTGTAAGTGCCTTCATCCTATACAGATTCATCAAGAAAAGTCTTTAATTTTCGTCCAAAAGTTCCTTAGAAAGTCAAGTCCCACACATGTTACATGGCAGACCACATTAGCGAGCTCTTTTGAAAACGTTGGCCATGATCTCCTTTAACAAAGGTGTAATAAAAAAAGCTGACTTCTTCAGGGGGACTGTATAAAAAGTGTAGAATGCTTATTTCCATGTTGATCTTCTTATTGATACGTAAAATGTTAACACCAATAATCACTTCTTATTCTGGAAATGTTGAATTATTTCATCAGCAGAAAACTTTAGAAATAACTAACTTGTGTTTTATAAACCTAAAGCAACATTATAATAGTAATCTAAACTGTAATATATTGCTGCAAGGATAATTATTAAGGGAAAACACAGCTGACATTTTCTGATTTATGCACACAATCAGAGATGGAGTCCAAGGACTGTGACATAATTATCTTCATGCTAACAATTTTTGTAAATCTCTTGACAGAATTTTAGCTAATTTTAAAATGCCTTCTGAAGATTAGCACTTAAAACTGTTGGGGAAAATAGCACAATTTATTAGCAAGGGTATAATTGTAAACCTTCCAAATACTCATTGCGAATATCATTTAGACAGTAACTCCTGCTTTAGCAGCTGGTATGTAAGACTCCAGTTTATGGAATCTTGAAACAACAGAGAGAGTAGAATCTAATTAAACAGGATTACGTGCCAAAGAAAAATTATTAAAAACAGACTAATAGATAATTGTCAAGAATCTGGAATAGCACATCTACTTCTTTTGACGTGAACTTACATAACACTGTGCTTTATTCCAATGAAACCTAAATATTCTTAGCAGACTTCTCTCTTGATTTGGAACAGACTGTCTTTCTACACTGAAACAACACAGAAAGCTA